CATAACCCATCCCGCACTAGAGCGTATCGGCTTATTCACCAGTATATGATCTAATTTAATTTACCAAATACTATGCATTATACCAACTTAAGAATGAGTCTAGTGACATATATAAAAGTGGAACAAGTGATAGTGTTGGATCTTTGAATCTTTCTTGATAATGACTTTATGATGATAGAGACATTGAGATTTAGACAAGAGACTTTCATTCATAGACAAAGTTGTCCCAATATACATTAGAAAAGTATATATATATATATAATATAGGTGTGTGTGTGTGTGTGTGTGTGACATATGCCTCTATGTGGTTGTAAAAGAATGTTGGCCTTTTAAAACATGGGAAATTAATTAATTAATTAGACTCATGAAGAATATATAGGAATCCACTAACAACCACATTCATAAGATTGGCTTTTCCCAATCTTATCTTAGTCATTCCCACTTTTCTATGATTGGACAATAGATTTTGTGTGGAATATGTGTATGAATGAATATACCTTCACAAGTTTTGGAGATCTACATATATACTCGGTGTATTTTACTTGGTGCAACATATGATAATTTATTTGCTGGTTATTTTTATGCTATACCTAGTGAAGACTACAATGTATTTTTTTATCGTTGATTTACGCACACCTATGTAGATGTGTGAGTATATAAATTTTAAAGATCTACTCAATATATTTGATCGGATTGTATAAATCCCATTTGCTCTAGGTAATTTTAGGATTATAGGACCATGGATCACTTTCTCAAAGGCAAATTTTAGATCTTATTAGTGTGAACCAAAAGATTCTTTGCATAAAAACAAGGAATTTATGAAATATTTCTCCAAAAATTGAATTTTCTTTTATTAATATATAGAGACGACACAATAAGTTGATCTTTTGACTCATTGAATAATATAAATGAAAATCTAATCGACAGAATTAAGAAGAAGAAAATATGCTACATTCGATTAATTACACTAGATAAACATAGATCTGCACATAATAAAACACACAACTATGTGTATATATATTTAGTGAGAGGTTATTTCACATCATTAACTACTTTGAATTGACAAGAGTCATTTTTTTTCCAAAATTATTACTGGTATTTCATAAGAGTAAAATATTTTAAACATTATCCACATAAAACATCTCTTTCTCCTCTTTGTATTTATCTCATTTCTAGTCTTAAAAAAAATTATCTCATTTTCAATACGATAATGATTATAGAAAAAAAATAAAAAAATCTTAGTTAATTAATGACGTAGTTGAAATGTCTTAATTTACACTCCCATCTACATTATTGCAAAATTGAGAATGAGACATCATCCTATATTATATTGTCAGCAAATCTTGAAGATCTTCAATTTTTCAAACTTCTTTTCTTCAAACATTTGAAGCAGTCAAATAAATAAATAAAATAAGGCCAAGAAATTCAATTTTTCAAACTTCTTTTCTTCCATTTTTCAAACTCTCCTTCAAATCTTTGAAGCAGTCAAACAAATACGTGGGCTTGGGTTAATTAAATTTAATTTAATTAAAAATGAGTTTTAGTTAAAAAAAAATGAATTTGCAATGTCATTAATAAACGTATACCTGGTTATGTATGCCGGGTGGATTTCAATCGTAGGTCTGATTAAATAATCAGCCGCTAAGCACACATGCACACGTATGTGTACGTAATTATATATAAATCTACGATTGAAATTCATCCAGTACAAATAATCAGGTGTAACATCTAATTACTTGTTGTTGGATATATAGCGAATGCATTTTTGTTAACACTCTCTACAATAGAAACCTCAATCAATTTTATTTTTTATTAGATATAAAACCCTAGCTATATGGCTAACCCTAATTTTTTATTTCTTATAAAAATTGGGAAAACAAAAAAAAAATTAGATTTTGGAGATTAGCAGTGCCAGATGGAAACACAGCGGACCATCCGTTAGCAAACCCGTTTGGGCCGTTAAGCCCAAATCTGGATTCTGCAAAACTTGACCCAATTTTGGTTCTTGTTGGAGGGAGTGAAGTTATGAAGGACAGAATCGAGGAATATTCCGTTAAGTTTAAAGAAATGGGCAAAGAAATTGAATATGTGGTATTCGAAGCAGAGCAACATGGTTTTTTCGTCAACCAGCCTTTCTCGCAAGTGGCCAACAAACTTCTCCAAAAAATAAATCAATTTATGAATAAATAGAAAATGCAATATTTATTATTTATTTCTCCTTTTTCTCTTTTCTTTAATATATATATAACCTTTATATAAGTGAGTCTACTTAATTAGGGGTGTGGCTTTTAATTTTATTTGTTGCATGTAATAGCTTTGTTGATGAGTTGTTTGGAGTTTGTTAAGAATTAATCTTGTTTTTGCTATTTAATATTGGTACTACCACAATTTCTATATTTTGCTAATATTTATGATATGAATAGTTTTTTTAGCAATTCGATGTAAAACGGTCGTCGTACTGAATACAATAAACTTTAAATATTTAACTCGGTCAGTCCTAGTGGAGACTGGAGACGAACTTATAAGTTCCATTCACACTAAATTAGAAATTAAAAAAAAAAAAAGGAAGGCAAGTGGATCGATAAGCATTGTCCAATCACGAGACGTCATACGAGAACTAGTGGGGCAATTATATTGGTACAAAAGAAAATGCACAAGGTACAAGCCTCTCGGGAAAACCGCTAGAAATGGACAACACGGGCAATTCAGGATTTTATAGAATCTACACCCGGTGAAGTACATATTTAGTTTTACGCTAATGATCTACACATAATAACACACATATTTATGTGTATGTATGCTTAGTGTATAATTATTTATGTGGATGTACGGTTTAAAATTACAGGGTGCATTTCATGAATCTTAATTGTAAGCCGACAAAGGAATTCCAATTGCTCTCTAGGACAAATTAGAATGTCAACTCAACTCCCAATTGTACACATGCATGCTATGTAGGATAAATGAATTTTTGTTTTTTTGCTACACAACTTGTTCAATAAAACAAAAACTAATTCTTTTTGGAATGAAAAATAATTAAAGACAAAAAAGGGACATTAATTACGAGGTCAATGGCATCTAGTCTGGCCGACCTCAATCCATATTACTTTATTTAAATCTTCTGCAACTCAAACAAGAATTTGCAGAAATAGAGGAGAGAAAAATATGGGTTCCATTTTGAAGATCCGTGCTGATCACGTGCTTCATTTGTCCAAAATCGCCAACAATGGTGGTTCAACAAATGCTGTTGGTATGGGCGGTATAGGAAATTTTCACTTATATACAGGTAAATTATATAAACTTCTCTGTGTGCGAGTGTTTCTGTGTGTGTTATTTATTATTATTTATAAAAAAAAAAGGAAAGGGTTAACAGTTTGGATCGAGATACAGGTTTATAATAAATGTACAACAAATTATTGTTTAATAATATGATTTCTCACTTTTGCGCAGGACTCGTGAATTTGCTGAGCGGATCTAAAAGACGGCATAAAGCCGTAATTAGTTGCTGATCGTGTTTGGATGAGAAGGAGCCGTGAACAACAACTTGAAGAGTTGGTTGTTCCGGTTACGATCGTTGCCTATCGCTTCGAACAAATGCTTCCTCCATCATATCATATCCGACTTCTCCTACTCTATGTATAATAATGTCGGATAGTTAATAAGATTTTCAACATTATATATATATAAATAAATATCGTAATTATTGTGCAATTTTCTTTCGCTTCCTGCTAAGGGATATGGAAGACTAGTATGGCTTGATTTAGATTCGTTTATTGTAATCGAGATCGAGCATTTTGGCTATGTTTGGTAAGCTTTTTGGCTTCCATTTCTATTTTATTCTGGAGAAAGATGTTTTGGGAGAAGAATTTGTAAATAAAATAAAGTTTATTTGTGTTTTGAGATGAGACAATTTGTACCGTAGCAAGTCAAATCATGTCTAAAAGGTGTTGGGAAAATGTATTTTGGAAGAAGAATTTGAAGGATAAAATGATTTTAATTTGTAATTTAGTGAAGACAATTTTCACTGTAACAGTCAAATTATATCAAATCATATCTGTTACAGGTAAAAAAAAATTGAATTCTTTTTGGAAAAAGTTGTTGAAAATATTTCAGAAATATAATTTTATTTTGGGGGAAAGAATGAAAAGAATTTGAGAAGCTTACCAAACATAGCCGCTAAAGAATATATATATATATATATATATATATATATATATATATATATATATATATATATATATATATGGGGATTTCAAATGCCCATATATTGTTATTTGGAGGGATTTTCGTTAGCCTGGATTTGATGGCATTTGTTCACACGAGGAGGCCCGAATATGGACGGCCCACAATCAAATGCCGTAGACACTTATTTATGTTGAATGTACTATAAGATTAGGATTTGCATCTTTCCTTACATCAATTGATTTTAAGACAACTAGTAGCGTACAAGGTACCATAATTTTGTTGTTTGTCCGTAACGTAATCAAGCAATTTGCTTTGATAATCAAATTACTAATCTCTAAACATGTAATAATGTTTACTGATTCATATCTTAATGCACTACAGATAGCAGAATAAATTACATCAGTTCACAATGAAATGTTGTTGTAAAATCCTATTGTTGAATCAAGAGTTCAAGATAACTGAAATCTTGATTTTCACTCTCAGCTCATGTTCTATATGAGTAAATTAACTAGTCCATGTTATATAACGCGCTCTACATTTTAACGGAAATGACACAAAAATCGAATAATATTTATTCACCAATCAAGTATGAAGGAGGCCGAGCAATTCACCTTCATTCTTCTGGTGTGTCCTCCTCCGAAATTTTACTTCACTGCCAACAAATATCTTGGAAGTAACTCGAGAAATGGTTCGGCAATGAAAAGAGAGCTAAATAACATAGTCTTGTAATCACCTAGGTGTGATATCTGCAATGCCGGATGTTGGAGTCTCTGATCTTGGTGTACCAATAGCAGCCAATTCCAACTCGGGGGGCAGCAAATTTACATCATTCCACTCCATAATAGCTGCGCATTATGACTTGAAAATTAGCTTTCAAACAAGATTTATTATGAACGAAAAATTAAGTATGGGAAAAAATAAATAATCGAACGAGCATTTGCAGAAGAATGCATACATTCTCTATTCCACAAATCTGTCATGCTGACATCTGCATTTGATAAAAGCCAATAGTCTGCATCATTCTGCAAAACGAGAAGCAAAAAAAACGACATTAGATTTGAGCATATTATTAAGGTAACCAATAGCTAAAATGTGTCTCTGAACTGCAAAAGTAAAAGGACGAGATTAATTAATAACATCTGAAAAAATTTCATGTAGAGTTGGTTAGAGAGGTAGACAGCATTCTTGCAGCCACACGAAAATTTTCAGGTCATACAGTAAATCAAACGTAGAGAAAAATAGGGACAGGTTGAGAATACACTAGATGATCTTGATTAGCATTCCATATAGCTAATAAACTGCACCGTAAGGTAATTTCAATTCATAAACAGTGTTAGCCAAATGAGCATTTGTTCGCTGACAAAATCTTGTATTGGTAACCAAAAAACTTTTCTTCCTTAATCAGGGTAGCAAGTATAGATACTCAAAAATGAAAAGACAAACAAGAGGTTATATCAGTGGGGTAACATTTAGTAAAGCCAATAAAGACGCAAACGCACAAATTAACTTCACTTACATCAATATTTGAGGGGACAATCCTCGTCATTCCTCCAGCATTTTCTTGCAAAGCACCAAGCTCAGAGTCCTCGTGACTCTCTTGATTCTGAGCTTCATTTTGTGGAGCATCGTGCGCCAAGAAGGGTCTCTCTGCTTCTGGCACTACTCCGTTCATCTCTTCAAACTTCTCCTCAAATTGGCTGAATCAAAACAGAAAGACTTTCAAAAAGTGAAAGGAGTGAATAATAAATAATCTTTTGCAAAACATAAAGAGATTGACCATGATACCTGACAAGGTACACATCAATAGGGCCCATGGTACTTCGAAGTATAATTCTATATCTCCTTTGTGGATAATCAACAGCCTATGTACAAAAAGTACAATTAGTTAAATGGTCAGAAACAACTCTAGTGCAGCTCCACAAGCTCAGTCATCTTAGATATACCTCGTCGGGATCTGGTACTTCAAGGGTTGTCCCATGCGGCGCTTTGACTGCTATGAGGGTTTTGTTCTGCCAGCATTAACAGTTACGGAATAAGAACATATAACTAAAAATATGGTTACGTTAACTGCCATAGAAGGATAAAAGATGAACCTGGAAACAGGGTAAATTTTTAATGTCATCTTCGGTTACAAAAAGCAATCTATCACAGCCAAAGTGAAACAGGTCATTAGGAAATAATAAACTCCTTTCAGTATATTCAAGCAAAGTAAATAAGAATACGAAAGAAATATACCTTTGGTTGTTCTCGTCTTCACTCAAGTCTCTCAACTTCTCTTGCATTTGCCTGTAATGTTTCGAGTAATCACAATACATGAAAACACAGGGATAGCAACACTCCCTTCTCAGAGATTATAAACTATGAATTATTAAACCTTATTCGATCATCCAAACTTGTTTCTTCCATGGAAAGGTTCTCAATTTCTGCCTGCAGATGAAAACGAGATAGAATCACATTGCTGATTATTCAAACCTAACAACATGTCAAAACTAAAAGTCTAACACAATAAATATCAAGGCTTGCAAGTTTAGGGAGATCCCATTGACAATTACAACAGCTAACATTAAAAACATTTTTCGACAAACAAAAAATCATTTGATTGAACTATGTATACTCTCACCTGTAAAAGAGTTGCATCCTTGTCCACTTCTCCAGGTCGTGAAGTATCAAGCCCCCTGGCAAGTAAATATTGATCCCCATTAAGTTCTTAGTTTTATTGCCACTCCCCATATTGATTAAGACATGAAATATAAAAGCATAGCACCATAATATTTCTGAGATGTAACACAGTCTTACTTCCAATGAATTCTGTTCTTGAGCTTCTTTTCAATAAGACCAATCCCTTCAAGGACATTAGTTATGTCATATATACGTCTCTTCTGAACCTGCATAACAGAACTTCAGTTACAATTCTGATACCCTTAAAAAAGTACATTCACCTAACAGATTATAATCACCTGCAAGGTGTCAGCTGCTTTATTTAGATCAAGGTCACCATCTTCTGCATGCTTTATTAATGTGATAAATTTCTTAGTTAAGAGACCTGAAACCGATTGCAAACATTAATCAGCAACACACCATCTGCAACTACAATTTGCTAGCATTGAAACCTCAAATCCAGATTAGTGTTATTACTCAGAGAGCTATCGTATCGGCAGCTGCCAGCAGGAGTAAGAGGGGACGGCGCATCTGTAAAAAGTTACAACAATATCAGAATTACGTCTATATAAACCATTAATAAAACTGTCAAGGACATAAAAAAGTTTGAGTTAGAAAACGGCAGTGGCATACACAATACAACTAAAATAATTATTCTTTTTGGAAAAACACTCTCACAATTGTTGGTCACACATGGGTATAACTTCTGAAAATTAAAGGGGAATATGTCTCACCAACATTAGAGATGGGGGTTGACGGTAGAGATTTATTGTTCTTGGTGACCCTCGAACGACTCCTTCCTCCTTTAGCTACAGGTGTGCATAAGGGGCTGTTGGGGATGTTATTATATCCTGGACTTGCTGCCCACTCACTAGACTCGACGTCATTGTTTTGATACCCATTCTTCCTCTTCAAAGGGTGATAGACAATACTGTAGTCAGCAGATGTAATACACATCAAACAAAAAGACTATAACTTTACAGTTAAAACTACCGATGAGATCGAGGAACTTCAGAACCTACATCAAATTCGTCAAACACCCAGACCAATTAATGAGTGGCAATGGATTATTTTAAAAGAAATGGTATGACAACCTCAAGGGAAGCTGCTAAAATAGACATGGAGTATTTCAAACTACAAATCGAGAGGGAATCGAATGGTCAGAGCACATTTTATGTGTCAATTTTACAAAATAAACAGGAAGAAACTTCCCCTTTATATGATTCTAGAATCAATTTATCCCCCATTTCCAAATTTCAATTATAAAACATGCAGATCTATACAGAAATCTAACTACCCTTGTACTCACTGGTTTGAATCGCTTAAATTCAACAAGTCAGGGCTCAGTGAAAACCCATTCAATAAACACCAAAAAATAGTTACATTCACGGAAATTAGCAAGGGCAAAACAAAAAACAGCAGTTAAATAGACGATACAGTGAATTGTGAACCCACGGGAGACTTGACGACAATAGCTTCGGGAGCGTGATCGGCAGAGGAGGCGGCGGCGGCGGCGCGTGCGGGGGTGGAGAAACGGTGGTAGTCGTCTGACGAAACGAACGGCGGCTTCATGGACGCGAAGGGGAGATGCCGCCTGATCGACGCCGGCGGGGTCTGCTGCTGGTGGAGGATCTGTCCACTAGACGCCGGAGGAGTCGCCGCCGCCGCGGAGCCGCGGTTCGGCGCGCCGCGCCCAGCCATTGAATTGTTAAAATTAAGGTGATTAAAATTAATCGAATCAAGTTAATCAAGTTGGAGGATTGGTTATGGAGGGGTTTTAGATTCCAGATAGAGAGGGAAAACGAGGGTTTTGAGATAATTTCTGTGGGAGAAAAAGTTTGGTGTGCGAGTGCTAGTGTGTGTGTGTGTGTGTGTGTGTTTGTGCGTATTGGGGGTGAGGGGGTGGGAGTAGAAAACGAGGGAAGGGAGGGAATTTTGGTTCGGATAGATGTGGAGGGAAGTGGAGAGAAATATGTCAAAAATCAATTGAGGAATCCCCCTTTTTGCTATTTGGTCCTCGTATAATTACTTTTGTTACTGTTTTAACCTATTTTCAATTTTAACCCGTTTTAGCATTTACAAAATGAGTTTTTTTTAGAGGTAAATAGACTCCACTTCATATCATTCCAATTTTTCTTTTTGTTATGCATGTAGCTGAATTATAATAGCATTTATTTTCATTTAAAATCGTGCACTGATTGTTCTATCGTAGGTATTAATTATGCGAGTTGGCGACGTAATTTAGTTAATCCTTATCCTTTTTACTATTAAGTAATTTTAAATGACAAGGACACGCGTCACAAATATAAACACCAGATGATGAAGATTAAATGTAGCATCGAAAAGACCTTAAATTGTATTGTATGATATGAAGTATAAATACCAGATGACGGAGATTAAATGTAGCATCGAGAGGACCTTAAATTGTATATATGATAATTTTAAGTTGGTTTATTATTGTCATGTTGCTTGTAATTTGGTTACAAGTTAGGATTCCAAATATGAACTTGAAAATATCACGAAAATTCCATATTTTTTATAAATAATATAGTATTCGAATTTATAGATGACATAACATTATATTCCTGAAACATTATTATAAATGATGATTAAATTTATTTAATTCCATTATAGGCACTTGTATATTACTCTCAAAATGCTAACTTGGTGACAGTATGTGCAAATATTATTCTAGTTAATTCAAAGTTGATGAAACAATAAAAGGTATTAATAATGTTAGGAGGTGATTAGAATATTAGCTAAAAGGGGGGGTTGAATTGCAAAAGGGGATAGAAAAAAGAGGAGCAGTGCAATGAAAAGAAAGAAGTGGGAGATGGGCAGTATCCGCGTTCCTCGCGTCTTATTCAACCCTAAAAATAAAAGTTGTTTAGCATATTTGCAGCCGCGGTGCACACAGTGGTTCGTGCTACTGCCTCTTCATCGTGCCACGTGCCATTGTTAAAAGGGCTATTTTTTTTTTATTTTTTTTTAATTCGTAAAATATTGAAGGTTTTTTGCACATGGTTTAGCCCAGATCGATTTTTGCAGCCCAATGTTATTATTGAGTAACATTGGTGTTGGATTTGACCCAATAAGTTAATTTTAAATGCCCAACCCCTAATAACAGTTAATTCACTACTTGAAAAATAATTAAATGCATTTTATAGATACATAATAATATTGACACTACATGTATTTTCTCGATTTTTTTTTTAATAAAAAATCCGAAATTATGGGAATTATATATGTAATTCCAATTCTGAGAAAAAAAAATATCGGAATATCAGAGAGTGAAAAATATTGTTCCAAAATTGAAACTTTTCAATTGAAGTCGGTGCAATCGTACATTTCATTCCGATTTCAACCCGTATTCTTTTTTACAATAGAAGGTACGAAAGATGAATGGTAAAAATAGTGTAGATGTACATGTTGTAAGGGATTAACAAGCATTGAAATATGCATTTTTTCTCTCTTCTATCTACATGGTTCTTGATCTTGTCTTCAGGAATCTGGCAGATTCGATCGTTAATCACTTTTCTACTTGTATTTTGTTTCTCCTTTATTTACTATGATTTATCTATCGTCAATATTTCCTATTTTTTAACTTATTTTCTTCCGCTCTCCCATTTCAGAACCCTATTGACGGCGGCGCTAGACTCGTTTCATTTGTTAACTGCACCTTCATCTATCTCTCATCTTAATATGGACGGCATCTCAGAAGTCATGTCTAGAAACTTCCATCTCACTAAGGAAGAAGGGGAAATGCCGACTTTCAACGTTAATTCTGGTGAGAAGAGGGTTCCCCCCAAACTTTTTAACTCGTGGAAATATTACATAAAAATATTTGGAAGAAAATATGATTTTCAGATAATTTGATAACGAAATAGCTGAATAATTTTTTCTTGTAAAATATTTTTTTTATAAAAAAAAATAATTTTTAGATATGTTGATGAGAAGTATTCTTATTTTTGCACTATATAGTTTCAAAATGATTGATGAATAAAAAAATATAATTTAACATTTGTCATCCAAAAAAATTACCATGAAAAATATTAAATTACCTTTATTACCTTTAAAAATTAATTTGGGATGCATTATGCA